GAACTGTTAAGATGCTTTACCACTTGGCCTATGTCTTGCTTAGAGTAAATAGTATGTCCTTCACAGAAGCAATTCATGCTTATATTCTCTTGAATTATGCTAAGCAATCCCTTTCATTTCTTTATCTGAAAGGGCAGAAGCTTTTTCCCTTTTTTTGACTGAACTCTTCAACCGTACTCTTCTCAGTAGTTTCTCATATGTGTGGGAATTCTCTCATTTTTCTCCATTCTAAATGTTCTTATACAGTAATTACTTGAAATGTGCATACTTTAATGTAAGTTACCATCTTCCGATAATCCTCCTAGTGAAGCCTAATATCCCAGCACCTAGTAAACACACCTAGTCCCACCGTCCACCAGAGAAAACCATTTTTTATTGTTCTTACATAAAAACAAAAAAAGCTGGCAACATTTGATTAAAACAGTATAATTTGTATAGTGGTTTTTAGGCATGTGGACCGGTAAGTTCAAAAAAAGGAAGGACTACCAAAGCTTCTTTGAAAGGCAGTTACAAACCAAATTCATGCAAGTGTCTTTTTAAAGTAAACCATGGCTTAGACACTCTACTTTTCATTAGTTTGTATTTGCTTCACTGAAAATGTCTTATGAAGAAGATGCAAAGCCTTTGGCATTTTACGTTGTTTAGTGATTCCTTTATTGTTCAGCTGCGCTGTTCCATAGATATGCAGTTTGCCCTTTGTCTGAGGTTTCTGTATCTTTGTGGTCACGAAAAATTTCTGATTGAAAGATTGATGGGCAGAAATCTCTCTGAACTACTACATGCTTTCATGCAAGAGCAGAGAACACAGTGTTAGAGATTCCTTTGGGAAGGGGAGGTCAAAGCTTAAGTGGGCAAGAATAGGGGAAAGAGATGTCTATCAAACATACTTAGATATAATGTTGGAGTAATTGTAGATGTTCTGCTTTCATAGTAAGCGCTTGACAACATACATTTGTCGTGGTTTAAACAAAGTCAGCCATAAATCATGCAGTCTCTCCCTCACTCCCCCCCCCCCCCCACCGTTTTGCCCTCCCCCTGCTCCCAGAGGGATGGGAAGGAGAATCAAAAGAATGCAACTCCCACAGGTTGAGATAAGAACAGTTTAGTAATTAAGATATAACACAAATCACTACAGCTACCACCAATGATAATAATGATAAAGGAAATAACAAGAGAAGAGAATACAACACCTCACCACCTGCCGACCGATAACTCCCCCCCCCCCCCCCGCCCAACTGAGCACCAACTGATACCTAGTCCAGCCCCGCAGTGAACAAGCCCCTCTGGGTAACTCTCAGTTACATCCTGGGCATGACGTGCTGTGGTATGGAATACCTCTTTGGTCAGTTTGGGTCAGGTGTCCTGTCTCTGCTTCCTCTCAGCTTCCCCTCCTCCCTGGCAGAGCATGAGGCTCACAAAGTTCTTGGTCAGTCTAAACATTTGAGCAGCAACTAAAAACATCAGTGTTATCAGCGTTGTTCCCAGGCCGAAAGTAAAAACCACAGTGCTGTACCAGCTACTAAGAAGGAGAAAAATGACTGCTACTGCTGAACCCAGGACAACATTGAAATCACAGAGATTAGGTTATTACTATAAATGGGAATTGCCTGGTTGTAAAGTAAGAAAAAGTTAGCAAATTTTAAGAGTGAAATTCTCACCTCTGTTGAGGGGCCGCACAGCCTATGCAAAGCATGCGTCCCTTGAGGTTTAAAGTGAGAATAGCAGCTATTAGGTTTATTTATTGTGTTTTGGTCAAGGTGGCAGTGTTGCCTCTGGAACGCATTAAGATGCTCAAAGACACTGAAATCGGGATATTTTATTATTGATTTCTCTCAATTTAATGCTGGATGACTTGAAATCAGAACTATAATTGTGTGGCAATTCATGTATAACTTCTGGAGTATTGCTGACTTGGCCAGTGGTTTTTGTGCATTTCCAACAGTACAGCATGCCAGCCCACGTCTGTCCATTGAATATATTTTGCATTGGCAGACAGCTTCTAAAAAGAAGAGACAGAACAATCCTTAGGCTTCATGCAGTTACTGGGGATTTATTATATATGCTCTGGGTGAGCTAATCAGAATTCAGAGCAGAATCAAAATTACTGTTTACCTGCAGACTGAGCATCATCTTCATGTTAAGCTCTCTTTGAACTATAGGAAACAGTATGGAATAAGCTGCATTTGTTTTGTCTTTAAATCTTCTTGCTGCAAAGCGCTGACAAATCTGAATTCTTCAAATTCCATAAAAGAGGGTGCAAACTTTGATTAAACAGCTGCTCCTGTTATCTGATTTAATGGTGACAATGAACTGAATGTTCTTGTGATCCAGAAGGTTTCCAAAGCAGTATGCTGATTTATGAGCTTGCATTTAGAAATTGCCTTCATCTTTCAGAGAAACGCAGTGAATCATCAGAGGGGGTGAAAACTACAGCTGTTAAGTGGCATGTGGCAGTAGGAAATACCTAGCAGTAGGCACAGAAACTGAAGGAGGTATTATCTGCAACGGGAATGTCAGGAGAAGATGGCATGTAGGCAGAATATAACTGTCCAAATTTGATCAAGGCTGGCACAGGAGAAATACTACACTTCTTTTTATATGCCATGTCTGCAATGGAGAAAGGGCTGATTCATTCTTCCTCTGTCTTTGCATTATTTATGCCAAAGTAAACCCAGTATAAAATAACTCTCATTGGATGGAGTTTTACATTCTCTTTGCAATCAAACAAACAAATGCAGAATTGTTCCTAAAACTCTGACAAGGTAACGTTGGTCTTACATGGGTTGTCTGAGAAACCTTTTGATTTTCTGTCTCACTGGGGCTTGCTCTATGTGTGACCTCTCATGAGATGATGCATATTTGGACAGCAAATCTAGCAACCTCTTGTTAGAAGACAAGTTTTTTACAGATGTTAATGCTGCTAGTACCTTGTTCTGAACATAAGTTGTTGGGAACTGAGTTCCTACAGTCCAGCTGGCTCTCACCAGCATCTTTGACCATGATTAGCTTTCTCTGTTTAGAAATCTATTCTCTGGCCTAGACATTACAGGAATACACATGGAGTTGGGTGCAACTGAGAGAAATGAAATATCACCCTGTCCTGACTTCTGATAACTTGCTGAAGTTTCAGGTTTATGAAGGATGTGCAGCTGTGTGTTAAGGAAAAATACATGGGTGTGCTTCCGCATAGTGTGGAAGGCTAATGATTTTCTTTTCACTTCTTTATCCCTAAGAACGTTGAGGTTTCTCTAAATTTGGTTGTCAGATAAGCAAGAAGATGGCGGTCCCTTAGTCATACAAGAAAATATTGCTGTTAATATCAGTTTAATCATTCATATGTCTTTTAGTCTGTTTAATACATGTCTCTTATGTAAGCACTGGGCAAATCAAAGACAGAACAATCTCTAGAAAAACAAGAGGCCACGATAGTAAAGAGATTTGCAAACTCATTGTTACTAGTTAGTAAGCTACAGAGTAGAGGAATCACCCAGAAAACAGAGCTACCAAGAAGCCAGCTGGCACGTCCTCCTACCCCAAGGCAGGCTCAGTATTTCCTGCCTTTCCTGGCAGTGCTTATCTAGACAGTTCTTAAATGCATGCAAAGGTAGCAGCACACAGCATTCACCAGCAACCTCTCCCAGTACTTATTTGTTCCTGTTAGTAGGCTAGTTACCTTTTAAGTGTGGTTATCTTTTGAAATCTAGATTATACCTCTTCGGATCCCACAGTGCCTCTATTCTATTTATCCTTTCTACCCTTCTTGCCACTCTGCTCCCAAATAGAGGAACTTTAATGCAGCAATGTTGGCCAACAATACAAGCCCCTTAGAACAGATGCTTCTAAAACTTAAGATGTTTTTTTCAGAGAGTACTCCAGCATGCTCATGTAGTGTTTTGAAATTCAGGCTTCATCTTTGTGAGATTGACCAACTAAAAGGTTTCCATATGGAACCTGCAGTAAGCATCTGCTTTCACAGTGCAAGCAGAACTGCACCCAGACCTGCTATACTGTTATCAGTGACTGAGCTACTCAGAGTAAAAATAGGAACTGAGGAAACTGCTGTTTTCATATAGGTACTGACAGGTGATGACAGTATTGATTTTCTTTCAGAAGGTTTGTGCACAGTTGTCTCACTGTTCAGGGTACCTGCCATCTCAGATTTTAGGCAAAGCAAGGTGCCAAAAGCTGGGTTGTGCAAGTCATTAGACAGAACAGTATATGGAAATGTAGGGGTCTTTTTAGTGGACAGATGCAGTCTTGTCATTCTGTAGAAAGCTGAGCAGAAAATGTGCATTGGGAAGAGCTGTGGATCATACTCATAGGAAAAAAGGGCTGGAAGACAGCCTGAGAGGCCAACTAGCTGCACTTTCCAGTTCTGCAAAATTGCTGATGGCAGTCAACAGCTTTAGCAGTATGAGTTACTGAGATTCCCCATCTTTCCATCCCAAAGGCAGTTTGACTCATCCAACATGAACAAAGAGTGACAGTAGACAAAGAGTAGCAAAGGAAGAGGAGAAGCCAGAATGTGCCCTGTTCCTCTCCTCTGCTCAAGTCCTTTGTAAAACCACCAAGAAAACTGCTTGAGTCTAATGATTCACAGGTTTTCCCACTCCATACTCTGCACTCCTCCTCTTTAGCTCCTGTTAATGGTCCTACAGGCATCCTTTGAGGTCAAAGAGGAAGTGGTTGCAGGAGATGTGGAAATACAGTATTTTCAGTGTCTGTCCCAGGAAATGAGTGGTGCAGAGAAGAGTAATTCGTCTCTTTAGGGCAATGCATTACCTCCTGTATTTTTGTCCTGTTTCTCCTGTGAGGTTTTCCTGTGAGAGAGAACAAATGAATTAACTGGTTTATCATCTCACCTGTGTCCTCCCTCTGAAAGAACCAGGAATTCTCTTTTGTGACAGTTTCGTTTGACTGACATGATCAGACTCTCTGCTAATCAAAGTGATCTCAGTAGCCTAATTCTGTACCTGGTCTCTCTCTGTTTGTGCTTCAAGGTCTTTGACAGGGTGCGAGAAGATTGCCCTAATTTCCACGAGAAGATTAAGCCTATTAATGCTGAACTCACTCAGCCCAAGCTGGCCATCAGTGCTGAAGATGAAGAGGAGCTTCTGACCCGAATCAACATTGTCTTCCACTGTGCAGCAACAGTTCGCTTTGATGAACCCCTGAAGTATGTCCTCCTTTCTTCTTTCTGTATTCACTGAGCACAATTCAGAGTTCATGATAGCTTATAATACAACATTCAGTGCATCTCTTGTATAGCTGTAGTAATAGCTCTCCACTTATGTTTCCATGCTACATGTGGTTCTGCACTGAATGTGCAGTGTAAATGCTCTGAAAATGTCATGTGCATATGCATGTCAAAAGTGAAGTGTCTTGGCAGATTTCCATGGGAACAGAAGGAAGTACTGCAAGCTTGGGTTGTAACATAGTAAGGGAGTTAAGTTTGACCTAAAATTGAGATAGGGAAAAGTGTGGTTTAGGTCACGGGGGAGATATTTTGACAGAACTAGCTGGAGACAGCTTGAAGTGAAACTATGTTGTGCCTGTCTCTAAAGCTAGTGTTAATGGCCTTTCTTTGTCACTGAGAAACTGAGAGGGAAATAAGATGTTGTTTAAGAAAATAGCCTATCCCAAGTTTTAAAATACACAGCACTCAGAGTAATTAACTGTTTACAATAAATGCTCAGTTTCTGAAGGAGCTCCCTTGGGAATGCCTCCCCAGGCAGGCTTTCCATTAAGAAAGAAGAGCAGAAAAAAAGCCACTAAACCAAGATTAGATGTGTGAGTGCCTCTATGCAAATCGTAAAGGTTAACAAACCAAGAGGGATGCTCTGGATTGTCAGATCTTCACAGTTTTTTGGAAAACAGTGTGAGAGTAGAAAACACAATTACTAATATCAGTCCTCATTTGCTCATATGTAGGCTAAATAGATATCCAGTGTGCCCACCATAAATAATTGCTTTTTGCAACAAGTAGAGAACCCACCAGAAAGGAAGCAGCTCTTGATATAATCTTGAGCCATGTGTAGAACCTGAATGAATATATAAGTAGCAAAGCACCGCACTGTATTAATACCTATAAATGATTTTAAATCAATACATGAGTGAAAATGCTATGAAAAATATGTCTCAGTGGCATCAAAGGGAAACTACGTTTTTAATAAGGAGGCTAGCTAGAAAGCAGTTAAAAAGTTTAAATGGTCATCTGCTTGCAGGCAGTGTAGAAACTATTTAAAGGCTGATTGCTTGTGATCTGTCAAAATCTCTCTAACAGAACAAGGAAAATCGATTTGATTAAATGGCAAAATAGGAGAAGTTGTTAAAATGAAATTATTCCTATCTGAGGAATGAAATCTATCACATGGGTAAAAGCTCTGACAAGTTAAATGTGAAAGCACAATATTGCTGCTGAAATAAGAGGTTTGAGCAGCAACTTGCTAACAACACAAAAATATAAAAATGTTTTTTAAACAGGGCAGAAGTCCAAAGCCTACCACAGAATATGTAGAGCCGATAGAAAAGGGAGGTGCAAAAGCAGTGCTATCAAGATACTAGAAAGGCAGCAACTGAGAAACTGATGAATTATTGGCATCAACATTCAGTACATTTAGGGAGCTCTCCAGATGGAACTCTTGAGGGTAGAAATCTGAGAAACTGTGTTATACTGAAATATCAGTGGATGCAGTTTTAATATAAATAGGAAAAAAAAGAGTAACAAATCACCAGGGTTAGATGAAATTCCCCTGGAAGGCTAAAAGAGCTCTGAACATATCAGCAGAAATCTGTGCTGGGCCTGTATTCTGAGCGCAATCCTGTTCTTCCCTTCTCAGAAGGGGTATGGTTGAATAGAAATGTACACGGAAGAGTAGCTTTCATATGAAGTGTAGCTAAAGTAGAAGGATTCATCCTGCTAGAAGAGCAGGAGGAAAAAGAAATCTATAGAAAACTCTATTCTTAGTAGCGTGATACTAAAAAAAACCCAAGTATTTCTGAATTTAGATATTGTGATGCAAACATTAATCATACTCTTAGCTGCTGTTTTCATTCATCAGGACTATTTACAATTTCCCTTCAATGTTGGTATAATTAATTTCTTTAGTATATGCTGTACTTAATAGCATTATTTATAATCTTGTATGCATTGTTGAAAGCTTATGCTCCTGTGCTGAACAGTTTGCATATTCCTTAGCCTTTTCCTTTCTGTGCAGAAAAGTGTCTTCCTTACAGTACAAAGCGTGCAACAGAGTTGAACATCTGTTCACTGAGATCCATTGCAGATAGGTCCAGGACAACTTTTAGTTATGCTCTGTGCTTCAAGGTCAACCTTGCTAACCAGGACTCTTTTTCTCTTATGCTTATTAGCTGTCTTTGCCATTCCTTAGGAATTTAAGCTGTTATCTCTAATTGAGTTTCTTTCAGTATGAACCTGTTTTCCTGGGCCAAAGGACCTTTTGCTGCTTGCTGAAACCATATGTTTATCTGGTTTAGCAGTGGTCCCTTAAAGAAAAAGTTGACAGGGCACCATAGGAACCATAACACCTCTGTGGTCATCTGTTTTGGAAATATTTGTTCCAGAAAGGGGTGGTAAATATGTCAGATTTAACAGTGTTAGAGGAATGTTACCTCTGATCATTCAAATTGAGTAAAAATATTTGAGAGACTTTCTGTGGCCAAAACAGTAAATCTAACTGGAAGCTGGTTTAGCCCTTGCATTGCATTGAAGCTTTCTGCTCTGCTGTGATCACTTCTCTTCTCTTACATTCATTTTCATGATTTGAGATTTGTATAATGCGCAGCTTCCGTATATTCTTTCAAGTGTAATACCTTTTGTTTCCTTCCCCCACTCTCTTTAGACATGCCCTGCAACTGAATGCATTGGGCACACAGCGACTTCTAGAGCTGGCCCAGCAGATGCAGAACCTCGAGGCCTTCATCCATATCTCTACCGCCTATGCAAACTGTGTCCGGAAATGCATAGATGAAATCATCTACCCACCCCCAGCTGAACCCAAGAAGCTCTTTGATTTAATAGAGTAAGTAGGATTCACCTACTGCATTGCTTCTTCTGACATTGGTTTTGCGCCATTCTGCAGAAGACCTCTGAATTGTTTGCATTGCCCACACCAGTGGGGTTTCTGTTCATAGTTGCTGTTACTGCTGTATGGCCTTGTCTGCACACACCCATGCCAGCAAAAAATGCTGGAGCACGAGCCTGATGGGGAACAGCTGAGGGAACTGGGGTTGTTTAGTCTGGAGAAGAGAAGGCTCGGGGGGGACCTTATGGCTCTCTAAAGCAGCCTGAAAGGAAGATGGATAGAGGTTGGGTGTCAGTCTCTTCTCCCAGGTAACAAGTGACAGGACAAGAGGTAACAGCTTCAGACTGTGCCAGGTGATGTTTAGATTGAACATTAGGAACAATTTCTTCACCAAAAAGGCACTGGAACAGGCTTCCCAGGGCAGTGCTGGAATCACCGTCCCTAGAAGTGTTCACAAACTGCGTAAATGAGGCCCTCAGTGACAGGGGTTAGTGGTGGCCTTGGCAGTCATGGTTGGACTTGTTGATCTTAAAGGTCTTTTCCAACATAGTTGATTCTGTGGTTCTATGAGGGTGAGACCAAAAGAAAAGAGAGCTGTTGTCCTATGTGCTTTTGGGTGGTACTGTCCACAGAATGTCCTCCAGTAAGTCTGTCCTTTCTGTGTTTTATCTTGAAACTAGCTTTACTGAGTTGTTTCATTTTTTGAAAACAGAAGAAATACAGACTCTGGCTTGGAGCTTTTGTGTCTGGAGAGCTGCTGAAATCATGCTTTATAAACATTTGGGTGAGCTGAAGAATACTTCTCCAGATACAAAATGTTAGGAAATAGCATAAACCACACTTACTAACCCTGCAATTCCAGCTACCTCTGAATGTTTTCGCACAGTTCTAAAAGGAGCGCGTGATTTCATGGGAGTCCAGCACTGAGTGTATTAACACATAAGTGTATTTGCTAATAAGAAATGGAGTTGTGTTGCTGCTTTCTGTAAGGCTACCTTACCTCTGTTGCTACCTTAGGAAAAACTGATATTTTTTCATATACCGTATATTTATTCTTTTATCTCTTCAGCTTCCCAATGTGTTTCTATCTATTTCAACAATCCTGTGGTATTAAACTGGAGTTATATGGGAATAAGTCAGAAAAGGGCTGTTTCTTAGAGAGTTCAGTGTCAGAATCCAGGACTTTGAGGAAACAGCAAAAAAAGCTTGTTTAATTGAATTTACTGAAATGAAGAATAATTACAAAGAATAACAAAATCTACTGATAAAGGCCCCAGGAAACCTTCCCCTTAGAGAATTTTCCCACAGCTGTAGTTTTGTTTTCATTTATTTTCTAGTGATATGCTACTTATGTGATAGAAGCAGCTGACCCATGAACTGTAACCCAGAGAGCTGGTATAAAATCTTTCTTCTCCTTCATTTACAGTAATAGGAGATGAGATTAATTCATGTCCAATAGGAGAAGCACTGGGATTTTATTTCAAGGAAATGTTTGTCCAAAGAAATAATTTCACTAAGTGCTACTCCAGAAAATTTAGTAGAAATCAGTGTTCTCTATTTTAACTTCTCCAGTAGCCTCTATTCTTTGGTATGTTTACTTCCAGCTGGTAGTCATCTATCATTTATTCTGCAAGTGGAGCATGATAAAAAACATAAGAAATGCCCTAGTGCATGAGAGCAGTGGACTGCCTGGCCCAGTATCTTGCTCTCAACAGTGGCACTGGGAGATGCTCGTTAGGATGACTGCACCAGCCTGGGTACTTTTGCAGCCCGTTCCCCTTGTAGCCTCCCAGAAACCAGAACTGTTGTATGAATGAGGGGTGTTATGTCCTGTTCTTTTCTGAGCTGTTTTTTAATCTACTAATTTGTTTAATCCCTTTTTGAACTTTCTGGTACTCTGCCTCTGCAACCCCCTGTGGCAGCAAGTTCCAGTTTATCAACCAACTGCTGTGTACAGACAAACTTTCCTTACCTGTTTCAAACTGTCATGCTGGTAGTTCCATTGCATGTCCCATAGTCATAGCATTGCAGTATCTGCAGCATTTGCCCTATTTACTGCCTGTGCAGTTCTGTAAATCTGTATTTCGTTCAGCCTGGACCTTCTTTTCTGCAGACTGCAGAGTTTCAGCCTTTTTACTGCCTCCTCATATGCCAACAGATCTATCTTCTTGATGATTTTAGTTGCCCTTCCCCTCTGCCTCTTTTTTAATTCCACTCTGAGGTGCAGAGGCCAGACAGAACTGCACGAAGTACTCAGGGTGTGATAACTCGAAGTTTTATTTAAACAATTTCAGAATGACACCATTGGTCTTGTTCTCGGTACATGATGATGTCCAACATGTTACTGACTTTTTTTGTCTGTTGCTACTCATTGACTTGAGATTTCATAGAGCTGTCAGCTAGCGCTTACTGAGCTGCAGCTGCCAGTTCTGAGTTCTGCAACCTCTAAGACCAATTTAGAATACTTTTCCCTAAATGCATTACCTTATTTTTATTTATAGTGAAGCTAATCTGCCACCTTTTTGACCACTGACTCAGTTTTACAATGTCCTTTGGAGTTCATCACTATCAATAATACATTTCACTGCTCCCAGAAACTTACCATTACTTGCAACTGTGGACATAAGACTTCAGCAAAGGTCTGAATTCTAATCAGTAATATGTTGAAGTGCCTGGCTACCCCATAGGTTACCCCTGGCTACCCCAGTTACTTCAGCTGCTTCATGTAAGACACCAAGAATTTATTTATTGTCGTTTGCATATGCAGCAGAGAGGATGGTGTTTGAAAGAAAGGCTGAGTGACAGGATGGGCTGTCAGAGTGTGCTTTTATGTGTTTATCTTGGTACTGAGGGCCATTTTCTTAGCCACATAATTAGAAATTAGGGCTCTTACTCTTTCACTGTATTTTAATTTTTTTTTTTTACTGTTTTTCCTGTTTTTCATACTCCAGAATTCACCACCTTCTGGTACTTTCAGTGACAGAGAAATCACAGCATGCCCTCAGCTAGGATGACATCTGTTTCTTTTACAGTATTGTCACAGCAACAACAACACAGCAGTGAAACCACTGCTTTCAAAGGCATTGAAATCAGGTGGGCCTTGTTCAGAATTGACCCTTGTCTCCAGGGTCATTGGTTTGGAAGATGTTCTGCAAATCAAAGGCAACGTATAAAGAGATGCATGGAGCTGCAGAGTGTGTGAAGGAGCAGGATGGGGAAAGCCCCTGGGATGTTGAGCACCCACTGTTGATGGGGCTTGGAGCAGCCTGGCCTAGTAGAAGGTGTCCCTGCCTGTGGCAGGGGATTGGAACTGGATGGTCTTTAATGTCTCTTCCAACCCAAACCAGTCTGTGATTATATGTTGGGATGACAGAACATAGGCAGAATGGGATAGAGAAAACTGAGAGACTGTGAAGGGCAGAGGATTACTTAGAGAGAGAGAAGGCAAAGCAGGGTTGGAAGATTAGAGTGATGCACCTTCGTAAGTGGATGTGGAAGTGGAGTGATTCTGCATGTAAGTGGAAGAAGTAATATATGGATATCTGAGTACAGAACGTTTAAGAGAAAGATGAACAGGTATCAGAATGTTACCTTCAAAAAGGGGGGGTGGGGTGGGGAAGGAAATAAAGCAGACAAGAAAATATAAACTCCCTTCAAAAAGGGGGAAGAAATACATGTCATGCTTTGCATCAGACAGCTGTGAAAGATTATTTTCACAAACAACTCTTGTCTTAAAGTGCCCTTTTGCAAGTGCATTAGGGGGTATGATCATACAAATGGGCGCAATAACAGACTCATTTAATCATACTTTTAGCCATGCACTTGATATATGCGTATGAGTCTTTATTCAGTTTACACAGTCCCAAATAGGACTCCCAGCTGTTTCTTTTTTCTGTTCTTATCCTCCTATTATATCCCTGCTTTCCTGTATTTTGATATTTAACCTGCAACTAAAGCCTTAGGCTTAATCTGTGTAAACCAAAAGTCACACTTCTAAGTGCTGCCAGGCCAATAGAGGAAATGTATAATCTGCCACATCAAGCAAGATTTGCCTTAATCTAAAGCTGAGGGAAATCAGCTTTGAAGGGTGTGCTGAGGTAAGGAGCACAGCACACAGTGAAGAAGAACTGGGTTTGTTATTGCAGAAAATGTAGATCCGTCATTACTTACAAGAAAGAGAGCATCTGACTAATGCAAAGCGGTTAACACAGTTATATTTTCGTATGGCAGGGTAATTTGGCACGTATACATGGTGAAAGAAGAGGTTACTAATGGTTTCGTTTGCATCTCTTGTTTCTACAGGGCAATTGCAGCAGTGAGCAAAAGCCATAGCTTTGTGATTTAGCATTTCAAAATCTTCAAAGTAGGTCACAGAGAAAGAGGACCGTTTCTCCTCACTGAACTGTCAGCTCAGCGCTCCTGTGATGATAGTGCTGGTAGATGAAATCACCTGGGAGGATGGTACCCTGAGACAGGCAGGAGCGTGGTCCCCTTGATGGCCACTGAAAGTAATGCAGAGGCCTGTCTGGAAGGATGAGGACTAGGGGAAGTTGCTTTTCCTTGTATTTCTACACCTGCCTTTGCTTCATAAGAATGCTAACATGTGAGCTGTATCTATTAGTTAAGTAAAAATATACAGATAGAAGGGAAGGGGAAGAAGGCTTGTATGCAGCTTAGTCTGAGTTCCCAAATGAACCTAGTCTTCAGGCTCTGCAGAAATAGACATCTCCTTTTGGTAGCCTGGTAATTAATTACTCAACAGATTCAAACACCTGCAATTTAGCTGAGCCCCTGAGGAGGCTGGGTTCAATGGCTGCCTAAGCAGGCTTTGTAAATTAAGTCAATATTGTGTGCTGCTTATAGCCTCAGTGTAGTTCAACTTCATATTTTATGCTTAAACATTTTTTCTGCCATGCGTATTTCTGAAGCATGGGACTAGGGTTGCAAAGAAGGGTATTTGTGCCTCCACAAGGCCTTTTTTTTAAGCTAAAAAAAAAAATCTATATTCTAAAACCTGTCAGAGTCTTTTGAATGTGCTCCAAACATGAAGGATCACTGAATTCAACCCTCGCATGCGAACTGTTCTGCAGTTTCAGTGAATCAGTGTTTTCTCATCTGTCAGTTTTCCTGTAGTATTTACATCTGTGTTTGATGAGAGCCATCCAAAAAGCAGTGTGCCACCTGAGTCATCAGGTGTTTGCACATTTAAGGTGATATGATCAAGTAATTCTTCAGGTGTGCCAGTTTCAACCTCATTCCTCTCCCCTTGACCTCCACCTGCTTCTGAAATTCAGGATAAGGAGGGGTGAAGTGGGGATATGCAGGGAACAGTATCCTTGCAATGCCCCTGGGAAGAGCACAGCCGTTCAGTCTGAACTCCATTGACTTAATTACAAATTGGATTATAGGAGTTAATCTTTGTTTCTGTGGTGTAACACCAGACTGCTGAAAGCCTGTCAGGGATTGGCAGCAGAGTGCAAGGGCTCTGGAAGTACGTCCAGTTCCTGTCCTTTAGACCCAAATGCTGGCAGGACCAGAGATGTCTTGAAGGTGTGCCAGGGAAAGAGCCTTTGAGCCTTAGGCCATCACTGTAGCACTGCAGTGGTGAGGGCCACTTTTTAAGAGGTATATGCATAACTACTTCTGATGGATTAGATACCCGAATACCTTAAAAAAAATACTCACTGGGGTGGTTTTGTTTCAAAAAACAAAATACTTTTGTTTGGGTTTTTTTTACTTAGCTAGCACTGACAGTTTCCTAACTCCCTATGTCAACAAGCCTGTGGAAAACAGGTAGGAAGGATCATTTAACACTGTTTCTAGTGCTACTAGAATACTATCCATCTAGTATGTTGTTCTAGCTTTTGAGACCTTCATAAGGCTACTCAACTCAGGAACTCAAGGTTACCAGGAATCTCATGAAATGTACTTGGGAGTATATAGGGACTGTGTTGGCTACGCTGAGCGCTGCCTGGAAACCTCAATCAGACCACTGCTATATTTTTGTTACAGATCGCAGTGAAGCATAAAGCACACAAGAGATTGCTTTACAATGTGATTGTGTAGGTGCCTGAAGTTGAGCTGGACAGCATAGCATGAAGCTCACAAGGGTTATTTTGCACTTTGAGGACAAAAGTAACCTTTCTCCCGCAGAGCTGTTCTAAATCCAAACCAGTTGCTCCTTGCTCCTTGCTTTGTCTTAAATGGCTTTGACTGGCTTATTCTTTGTTTCAGGTGAGTATTCCTGTCTTTTCTCTCTCTCTATACAGCAGATAATGATGGTCTCCTTGTTTTCTGTAGGTGGCTGGATGAGTCTATCATTGAAGACATTACACCCAAGCTGCTTGGTGACTGGCCTAACACTTATACCTACACCAAAGCCTTGTCAGAATACCTGATTCAGCAAGAGAAAGGAAACCTGAACATTGCTATCATCAGGCCATCCATTGTGGGAGCTAGCTGGCATGAGCCTTTCCCAGTAAGTATTAATATGTACCAGTTCTCTGCTGAGAGCAATTTGGGGGGCTGGAACTAGATATATTAAGGTCCTTTCAACCCTAACTATTCTGTGATACTGCTGCAGCTGCAGCACTGTCAGGAATCTCTCCTTACTTGTACCTACTTGTCTACCTGCTTACCTGCTTGAGAAACAGGTACTCCAGTTCATAGGAAAACATGTGGAAGAGGTAAAAGACCTGTGCTGGAGTAGAACAGCAAGACTTCTTCAACATCTTCAGGAAAAACTCTTGTCTCCAAGTGAAAAGAACACATTTAAGCAATAATAACAAGGCTGGGCTAATAATGGTGCAGAATGTTGGACTTGCAGCTGACAGTCTTACAGGCAGAGGACTGTGCCCAGACAGGCACACAGGGGAGTTTCTGTACTAACTGGGGAAACACAAGATATGAGGGTCGGTCATAGTCCTAATGCATTCTGCTTTGAGTCTTTCCATGGTCTAGTTAGCCTACTAATGAGATCCTGATGTGCACATGACTTCACATGGTCCTTGAAAGCATTTGATAGTCATGTGCAGTATCTCTGTCTTATGTTGGTAGTCACTGAACTTGATGGTTTCACACTTGCATAGGCCTGTTGCAGATACAAATGTCAGCCACACAGTGATTAAATACAGCAGTACTTTTGGACTGAAATAATTCACTAAGCTAAACATACTGGTAAGAATAATGTGCCCTAACATTGCAGCCAAACTGCAAAGGCAACATAAAGTCACCTTTGGCTTTCATGCAGCTTGAAGCCTGCCAAAGATGGCTCAGATACAGCCAAGGCTCTAAGCCAAGCCTCCCATCTTGGAAAGACAAAGTGAACTCTGTTAGGTGTCATAACCTGTTTCAGGTCAGACAGCTCATCACTGCTTTTAACTCTAGCTCCCGCAAGTGGCAGTTGCCTTAGATATTAGCTGGAGTAACTAAATCAGTCTTGGTGACATCTGCATGTTGTCTGTCAGAGGGTATATAACAACACTGACCATTTTCAGCAAGTGTGACAGCGCCAAGATGCTGTAGTGTTTAAAGCCAGAGTTTATTCCTGTAGCCAAGTTATAATAGTAAATAATTGGTTTCTAAAAACAAAATTAGATTTTGTTGTTGATTGGTAAATTGCAGATAGAATGACGTATCATACAGTGCATCCCCTATTTAAAATCAGTTAGGTACTTTGTACTGGTTAGCTTCCTGGCAGCTGTCCCAGATAGGCTGGCACCCATTGTGACTGGTTGCTTCTTTGTCTACACCACAGCATTACAGCTTTTGACCATTTCAAAGCCACTGTAAGCAACATGTCATTGAAAGAAGTAGTAATCATTGTTCTTTTTTGCAGGGTTGGATTGACAACTTCAATGGCACAAGTGGAATATTTATTGCGGTATGTTATGGTTACTATTTAAGTTCCCCTTAAAGTGGAGTTTGAGTGCCTAAAATAGCAACTGTAAAGTTACTCTACAACCCCACTGAGAAACAGTGTGTGAAAAAAGATCATAGCAGTTTTCTGAATCTTGTAGAAAGATGTCACACACTTGCCATACATTTATATGCATGTAGGACCCAAAAGACTGCCTGTTTATGCTGTGCTCAAAAAAGGATGTTGAAAAAGTATTCATGTTGCTGGTTCACTAACATGAATTACAGCCTCTAAAAACTCTGAAAAAAAGTAAAGTTTTGGACAAATTTGGGCAAATTTTCAAAGAAAGGGCAAAAGATGCATCCTTGAAAGCAGGGTAAATCACAAGTGTCAAAACTTGAGTCTTATAACAGAACTTAGTTTCCCAGGCCAGATTACCATACCATCAGTACAAGGCAGCATTAATTATCCTTTCATTTATTGTCATATGTATTGCTTTTAAGTCCATTGCTATAGTTTGTGACCATTCCAAATCACAAAGATTCTGGGTCTCACTTGCCATTGCGTTATACAGCATTTGCCCATGTGCAGAGTATACCCAAGTAATGTGTGTAACTATCAGTTCACACACTGCCAGTCACATGGATAATTCACTATATCCTTGCTTAACACCGGTGTAAATAACTACTGTGCAAAATGGTGAGGAACAAACCCATCAGAGAAATAATGAATAACTTGGTAAAATATTGCCTGTAATATGAAAACAATCATTAACAATTTAACACACGAAAACAGAAAAGTTGTGTACCTCTTCTCCTGGCTTGTATTTGTTTCTGAACTAAAAATGTTGCCTTGGGTCTATTTGTCACTACATAATGCTGTATAGCTATGGGCAGATATTTTTGTTCATGTATGATTTGTCCAACTTGATTATTTTGTAAAAAATTTATTATAATCAGCCTGCTGCAGTGTGTATAAAAGGATTAATAGTCTAGAATGATAGGAGAGCAGAATAAAATCCAAATATCATCTTGTTAGAAAAGCTCACTTATACCTGAAGTAGAGCATAAATAGAAACTGTTACAGTTACTACTGGCATCCACAGGGCCGGTGAAATTAGTGGGTATATCCCAGCTAATGCTTTTATCTGAAACCCCACATTTCGGAGACATTGAAAAGCCCCCAAAACACATAATTTGTATTCACAAAGTGTTATTAGCTTCTATTCATGTCACAGTTTCTTTAAAATAATTATCCATCAGCCTTTTACTCCTTGCTGACTGCTCCTAAAGCTGGTACTGTCGCTCTGCTCTACTCACAGCATCTTGTACTGTTTTCAGTGTTTCATTCATGGTGTTCTCATCACGATAAAGTTCTGCAGTTACTTCATTTTGCAGATTCACTCCTTACATTTTTATGTGATAGGTTCTAACTTTTGTATTGGTATCTGTGAGTTTTGATGTTTTTATGATTACTTTTGAGCATTAGTCTGTAACAAAAATTCATCCAGAATTGGTTTGCAAGATGGATGTCATACAAAAGAGTTCGATTGCATTGCTCTTTGTTCCCCACAAGTGAATGACCTAAGTGACAAACTACAGCAGCTAACTGTCATAGATGTTATCATATGCCAGTATGTTAGAAAACACAGGCCAAACTTGCGTGCTTTCAGCTATATAAAAACATGCCAATCAAATACTTTGTCATTTAAAAAGCATTTCCTCCCTCTTATTTTTTTCTAATCTGCCAACAAGTTAAAAAACAACTAATGGTTAAGTATTTGGAAATTTTGTCCATATGTCAGGTTTTTAATAGTGTCTGCATTACGTACTAGACTAGAGCTTGCCTGTATTTTATATGCTTATCTCTTTTGCCACACATACCAGGAACTAGTATTTTCTGTTCTTCAAAGCAAAAACTTTCTAGCCCTCCTGAATGCAACAACAGAATTAATGGCTGCTTCACTCAGGCCATGTTTCACACACAGATGCCAGCTTGTACCTTTATCTCCAGATTAACTCTGTGGAAAGTAAAGGTTTTGAGATTCTAGGGTTAGTGTAGTGCTGCAGAAAATACATGGACTCAGTCAGAGATCAATATGATCAGACAAAAGCCGTTTATCACAAAGCCTTAACCCCTTAAATACTATTTCTTACATGCACTTACAGTGATTTGGCATATTATGATTGGATACATGTCCTGAAGACCCTTTGCAACTAGCATATAATTGGTTAAGCACAGGTGTGAGAACTTGACCTCGAAGGCTTGCCAACAGTCCACAGTTCTCATTACATCAGTGAATTCTAGCTTCTTCTTATCTTGCTTGCTTAAGCTTCCTTGGGCCTCTCACGGCCTTGCTGTATCTTTCAGGATTATTCAGAGTTCATGTACCAATTATCCATTCTCCTGTGAGAACACTGTCTCCACAGTGGAGTAAATAATTTCCCTTTTATATAAAAGCTTTGACTTGCACTGAAAGAGTTTTGAAACAGAAATGGCATTTTTTGGTTCAGGATTGAAACTCTTGAGGTTTGTCAGTATAGGAAATAAAGATATAATGAAATTCATGTCATCTGCACTAAGCTCTCCAGTGATGAAATGTGATGATTTGATATGTAAATATATCAAGACTTAACCAATTAAAAAAAAAAAACAAACAGCAATGACAATAGGTGCAGGGTGCATACACCAGGTTGTTGTTTGTGTCCAGCAGCTCTTTGGTCTTACGGGCAGCAGCGTTGGCTAGTATCAGTCAGGAGCAGAGACTCTGTGGTGTGGAGAAGCATGTGGGGAGTGCTGACAAGACAGTTTTTTACCATCTCCAGTTGCTACTGAACTTAGCTGGACTGGTACAAGTTATCTGGAAGTGAAAACTTTTTTATTATTAGGGAGCCCAAGACACTTCTGCTCTTCCGGAGAAAGGGTGGGGGTGAGGGAAATAAATGCATGGTTTGAATAAATGTGCTTGGATATGGTGAATTGGTAATTCCTGTTTGGTAGTTCGAAAATTAACCCTTCAACATCTGAGTTATGATTACCATCTGAGCTTGATTACCTGCAAGTTGCGTGGTTACAACCAGCTGTCTTGGCTTCAAACTGTATTTATTACTCAAGTAGCTTTGTTTGCCTTAATTAAGGATGGAGAAAGCAAAAGCAAAGTGTTTTGGTGGTCAGTTTGTTTGTTTTTTTAAGGTGTCTCTCCCATACCAAAATAATTTTAACTTCTAGCCCAAGTTCATCATGTATGAAGGACAACCCCCAGACTCAGATTTGGTTCAGATGGTCTTTGGGATCATTTAGGAAGAATCCGAACTCCAGATCTTGTGAAGACTTTTTTCTCAGCCACCAATACAGTATTCGAGTTTGATCATTTCATTCCATAAATAGATATATTTCTTTTAAATATTCATGAAATATGGGAGTTCAAGTTGTTCTAGGTAATGTGATTATGTTTCTTTTGCCTACAGTTGCTTCAACTGCTGTGAGGAGAAGCTTTGTTGACTGAAGAACAAAATGAAATTAATTACATTTCCACTGGACTGTAATTGAGGCATTTTGTCTCACTGTTCCATATTACATGTAAAGACCACCTTCCCTGCAAGGCAGTGGGTCTGTAAGGCAGAACCGTGATTTAAGTTATGTTCTGGACAATGACTTGCCCTAAAGCGCTTCAGCTGGGAGGCTGTCCAGAAACATCAGGCTCAGACTGGGAAATGATTTTGAAGGCTTCAGCTGCAGTAGCTTCTACTTCACTAAACAGTCAGCAGCTATAAAGAGAAATCAAGACATACCTTTTCAAGGAGCACCAAACCATTTCCAGTGTATAAAGTAACTTAAAACACTCAAACCTGAAGTCTTTAGTAAATACACAATATATGAAATCTCTAATTCATTCACGTGTATATGACCATCACATACTGCTTGAATACAGGCATGTCTGCAGCACATTCATCAAACTTTCTAGTTTTGAAGACCTCAAACAGGTCTTCAGTGTACCTATAAAAATGTGGTAGTTGATCACACAGCTTTCACAACAGTGGAAAATTCATGGCTAAGCTTGATGGCTTCCTTCGGTTCTTTTTTGCTTTTTATCCCTTGAAAAATAGTAGTTAGAACAGTAGTAAGTAGTAAGAAAAACAAAAAAAGAGGATGCTCCAGGTTTCCCAGGTTAAGGTTTCAATCTCTAAGCATATGTGTGGTTCAGCTGAGGTTCAGTTTAGGGCAGCTGAAGTTAACTGCATGCCATGGGTTTGAGGGGGATGGAGTCATACAGGAAAACTTATATGTTTGCCTATTTCTGAGTCTGTCTACAGTCCCTCTGCCAGCTGCACCAAGGATGAGATGAGAATGCTTGGAAGTCTTAGCTCCTGAAAATTCCTTGCTTTTATCCTCCCAGTTTTTTTCACTGGGTCCTCAGCTTCACTGTGTTTTATTACACAGAATATTGGGATCCATCTTTGTTTCCACAGAAACCAAATACTCTTCTGCAACAGGTGCCAGACTTTAAAAGTGCTAACATGACAGTGTTTCCTTAGTCCAAGCTGATGAAATTTTACCATGGTCTTACATTAGTGACTGTTTTCCTTTGTTCCACAGGCAGGCAAAGGGATTCTCCGGACTGTCATTGCCAACAACGAAGCAGTGGCAGATATGATCCCAGTGGACGTCGCCATCAACCTCACCCTTGCAGCTGGGTGGTATACTGCTGTGCACAGGTAGGAAGGCACTCCTGTTGTGCCAGACTTGGGCATTTATTACCTGGACTGGGACTCTAAAGGGAGCCAGATGCTAATTGAAAACCTGTGTGAGAGCCTGGTTGATTCATTTTCTGGTTCACATTTTCTCACCCAGAGTTTCCTTGGTGAAAATGCACTGCATTTTCCTTGGAAAACACAATATAAATATGAGTTCATGTGATAGGGGACATGATCTAAAAAACCTCCATTCTTGTCATTGTTTAGAAGGGTATGTGTAAGTGACATTAAGGATTTATGCTCTTTTCCTGTGAACCTTTGATTCTGACCTTAAATCATTAGGTAGGAAGTGCTTCAGAGTAAACCACATGAGTAACTCTGGATGTTTATGCAATTCTGGGAAATCAATACCAGCAAATAAAAGGCATAAGTATTTTACTCTGAAAGACAGAGTAAGCCCTCTGAGCTGAGGAAGAGCCGCATACAGTAACCTAAATACAGGGATCCTAAAAGGATCTTAAAAGGCAGTTCATCAGCTCTCCAGATTTATTTATCTCATTGTTTTGTGCCTTTCAATCAGCAACAGCCAAAGCAACATGGACTGGGAAAAATAAATACAACTTCTCATACATACACCTCTGAGAGCCTTCAGATGAAGAGGGCTACAGCTAGTTCATAAAGCTGGAAAAGGAGGTGAACACATGCTCATGAGCAGTGTCAGCACACAAGTAGAATTCCTGGCTCTGGCCATGGTAGAAGAAATAACATCTTTTCTGACTTTTCACTGGCAAAAGATACATGGTTTTAATCTGGTTCCCACACAAATAATTACAGGCTAAAGGAGCAATTGCAGAACTTGATTTAAGGCTTTGTCTACCTAGGCACAACCCCAAGGTTAGCAATCTGTATACAAAAATCAAGAGCCTGAGCCTTCTGTAAATTTGATTTCTCAGACTGTTTTGGGTTTAGGTGCTGTCTTGAAAAACAGCTTGTATGGTTTAATTTTTAATTTTTTTGCAATCATCTAATCAGAAAGTGAGTATCCTTCAGGGTATGTGACATTATCAACAGAAATTAGATTCTAAAACCTAGCAGAGAATTGCAATGTTCAGTACATAGTGTAGAAGTGTCTACAAAGCTCTGCACTCTACCAAGGTCACTGACTGAGCTGGAGAGTGGAGAAGGGAATAAAATCAACAAGGAGATATTCTTCAGTGGAAGTCTCTTCAAGGTGTTTAATGGCCCTGACCCACTGGAGTAAATGGAAGTCTGTGCTTTCACTTCAGTGCACTTTCCATCAGGCTATGTGTGTAGTACTAGGTGAGTTTTCTACATGGGCACGTATTACTGATTTAATCCTTAGTGAGTTGCCGTATTGTTTCAATGATGCATTTTTCCCAAATAAAGCATTCCTGAGCGTTTTTATGTTTAACACTCTATCAGATTTCTACTCAGTAATTCAAAGTTATGGGAGATCGTAGATTCAGAGCCTAACACATGCCTATCAGTACTAACCATCCCTAGAAGCCTGATGGGGATTATAGTAATGCTAATACACAGTTAATGCCATGATATCAAAGCACTGTTAATAAAAGCACCATTAAAAATGCATTACCCAAATGCAGTTTTCAAATATTGCTGTGTGAGATTTCCTATCCCAGGTTTAGGGGTTCTCTCTCCTGGTCTCTTCAGTCTCATCCAGTGGAGAAAGGCTCTGAACACCACAGGCACCTTAGATGCACTGAGATGCTGTATCTTCCAGCCAAGCTGCTGTCCCCTGTTCAAGGCCAGATCTCACTTCTTTTAGCATTTTGCCTTCAGCTGCTAATGCAGAGTAAGAAAAATGCTGTGTTGATCACTTGCACCCTTGGCAAGGCAGGTTTAAGTTGAAAAAGCTGGTCATGTCTTATATTAAAGGAAGACATGAAACCAGTGTAATCAATACTTAGTTCCATGCCCAAGTAACAACCAGACTTTATATTAAAATGAGAATTTTGATGAAATGGATTGATTCATAATCACGACCATAACAAATGGAGTTTAAAAAGTAGCAAAAATCATATTCTTTAAGAAAATGATTGTAAAATACAGTGTGTCCCTGAGGTTGGCTTGGGCCAATTATTTACAATATACTTAGAGAAACTATTGGGGGGAAAATGTGATCAGAAATTTGTCAGTATGCACACTTTGCCTATTGGTTTTCTAACTTTTCATGAGTTATATATGGATTATTTTTATTAAACCTCAACTGTCTTTACTAACTTCATCTACTTTCCAGAATCAGACTGGATCTTACCAAAACTTTGTATTTTATACTGCATTTTTATATTTATGAAAAGTATAATTTTTTATGAGCTGATGTTACTGTTTCTTGGGCTGTTAGATTTCATGTTCTGTTACTTCAAGCTTTGGGTGCTTTTCTAATACAGCTTAAAATAATACTTCTCTTTTCCAGACCAAAAAACATGTTGGTGTACAACTGCACAACAGGTGGAATCAACCCTTTCTTCTGGGGAGAAATGGGTAAGATATAATTTAAATCTAGAACATGTCAAACGTCAATAGCATTTCTCTGCCAGGCTTTGAAAAGGTGGTTTCCTATATTTAAGTGCCATTTAAGCTGCATGTGGGAGGCCCAGCTGCAGGCAGTGAGGGTCCGGTGAGCAAAAGCAGCTGGTGCTTGGCATTCAGCTCAGGAAAGCATCTATTCAGTTTTCATTGTGGGTGTAATCACACAACAAACCAGCAAAATACGTGCTTTGCTGCACAGAGGTATGAAAGTGTTGGAAAAAAGAATAGAGTACCAGCCCCTTAATTGTATGAGAAGATGCTCTCTGTAGCCATAGCAGGACATCTTCCTTTTCTGATTGCTAGTTTTGGGGTTCTTTCTGTGCTTTGAAATCACTTGGAGAACCTTTACAGTAAGTGAAAACTAGTATATTATGGAAGTAAAGTAGCCATTCTTCCTCTTTCTATGCAGAAAATTGTAAACAGAAATAATTGGTGTAGACTTGAGAAGGCAAATCTTGAAATACCTGGTGTGCTTCAAGAACAGTTTGAGTTTTGATCATGAATCTTTCAGTAGAAGGATTCATATTCTTTTCATGGCTGACTTTTCTTCAGGTGGATATGCTTTCAAGGCAGGGGTAAAGGAAAAGCAAGACAAATCCTGACACCCTTACAGTGGAAAACTCTTCCTGAAGCCAAGCAGCAGAATTTGCTCAGCTGTAAAATACTACATATAGTCAGTGAGTTGGACAGACTCAAGGCCTGAGATGCTTTCTGTTATACATTCATTCATATCATTGGGTTTTAAATACAGGAAGCTGGCAGGTCACTGCTATGTGTTTCACTTCTCAGCTTTTGCTTTTCATTTGTCTTTGCACTTTTTAAGTGGCAAACAGTAAGTGAGCAAAGAATCAGAACATACACTAATAGACTGGTTTGGGTTGGAAAGGACCTTAAGACCATCTAGTTCCAACCCCCTTGCCATGGGCAGGGACGCCTCACGCTAGACAGTGTCGCCCAAGGCTCTGTCCAGCCTGGCACTGAATGCTGCCAGGGATGGAGCATTTACCACTTCTTTGGGCAACCTGTTCCAGTACCTCACCACCCTCACAGAAAAGAACTTCTTTCTTGTATCTAACCTGAACTTCCCCTGTTTAAGTTTGAACCCATTACCTTTTGTCCTAGTGATGAAGAGTCCTTCTCCAGCATCCTTGTAGGCCCCCTTCAGATACTGAAAGGCTGCCATGAGGTCTCCATGCAGCTTCTCTTCTCCAGGCTGAGCAGCCCAAATTTTCTCAGCCTGTATAATTGCATTTCAGAACAAGGCTTCTGTGAAAGTCCCACTAATGTCCTAATTGTGATACTTGATCAAGTGATCTAGCAGGGATGAGGTTTCAGCAATTGGCTGAGTGGTGAGTACATCGACCAAGTTCCTGGCAGTCTTTTCAATGAGAGATACAGCACTGTGATTAGTCACAGATCTTCTGTGACTTCTTCCCAGGAGTAAATGCAAAGCTCTTCACAGGTTGTGACTTCACACAACAGCCACCTTTGCAATACTATCTGAGGTTTGGCTTTCTTAACCCATTTTCAGTGGGTTTCATCATTTTACTGATGAAAACAGCAATGTATTAATGCATTATAATCAGTGTTATTATTTTACTTTGCTTATAACTGGATTTAGCAATGAAATCATCTGGGTGCAGCAGAAGTTTGCATAATCAGTTCAGCTGTGTGATGGGACTGAAGACGGAATTTTCTCCTTTACTGGCACTGTGGAACTCCTTGTACCACATGTATCCACAGTTTCCTGAGAGCAGCAGGCTGAAGAGAATTAGTATGGAGTATCAAAGAGCAAAATTCGGTCCTCAAAGATGTTGCATGGTTTAAGAAATGAGTTTGGGGAAGGTTTATTGCATTGGAATGTTACACCTGCAGCCATCCTGTTTAAATTCTCAATTGTTTTCTATGTCTTTTTGTAAATGCTCGTAATCCTAAAATCTTTATATATATGACAGATTTTCACGACCCATTCATATTACTTTCTCTTTCTACTCAGCTATTTTTTGGCTTCTAGGCAGCCAGTCCCATGGCTTGCACTCCAACAGGACTTATGGTTCATGATCTCTCTTAAATAAGATCTACCGCTAAGTAGTCCATCCTTTACACAGAAGGACAAAATTTCACTAGTTCCCTCCTTCCCAATGGGACAGCATCTGTTACTTGAGTTGCCACCTATTGTTTTTGAAAGCCTGTCTCTTTCTGTGTTTAGTTCTGCCAGCCTTTCGGGTTGAAATAATTGAGGCCAGGTCTCTACTCGAGTGTTTTTTCAGCTTCGAAATTGCTTTTTCCCCAGCATGAAGGAAACTGGCTGATCCAAATATACAGGAGACACAAGATCAGCAGAGGGAAGGGGAGTCTGGGAAGGCCAGACTGGCACAGGGTCTGTAAGCGATCGCTGAGGTGGAGGGTTGTGAGAGTGAGACTGGAAGCTGCTGAGAAACAAGGGTGGGGAATGGAGTCATCTGGTGTGGGACTGAGCATTTTAGTGCAACTCAAACATGGGTTTTGTGGAGGGGGCAACCTGGGCTATGTGGTCAGGAAGACCTACAACAGGACCAGCTGTAGGAACGACAGGCAAACACAACAGAGTAGATTTCTTTTTTGAGGGGGAGAGGAGGAAATAAGAGGAAGATCAGAGACACTGAGGCTGGATTGGGCTAAGGATGCCCTGGGTAACAAAGAGAAGTGCTGAGATGAGAACATTTTGAGTACAAAGATGATGAGCTTGGAGGAAGGGAGGGAGGAGAAAGAGATCTAGAAGATAATTATTTGAAAAATAAATGTATACTTAAGAGTTCATGCTTAAACAGCCATTGTAAAACAATTTATTCTACAGATCTCCAGATACAGACAAACCTCTAGTGTTAAAAGGAACCTTTAACTGACTTACGTCTTTTCCAAATAATGCTGTGCCTTGGGATTTTTTCTGGCTTTTCTGGCTTCTTGTTACTTTCCCTGCTATTACAAAAATGTGGTCAAACAACTGAGTGTTAATCTGAAGAAGTGTATTCTGCTTTGCTGCAGTGGAAGTCTTGCTGGTGAAGTACTTTGTGAAGTACGTTTTGCAATTCCTACTCTAAATCATAAGGCAGGCTTTAAAATGCTGCTCAGCATGGGAAAACATAATTCTAATTTATCCTTAACAGTCTACCTAGGCAAGAGTGGTGTCTGATTTTCTCCTGCTAAATCTGCCTTTGTTGGAACTGTAGAATTAGCTCCTAGAGATGGTATGATTCTAGTTCAGGATTTTCTGCCTCCCTGACCAATCTGTCTGTCTGTTTGATTCTTTCTGTCTCCTTCTGATACAAACTATTGCAGCTTGTGAAGTTGAACACTATCCAGAAATGAAACAGAGCAATTGTGCTAAGACAGTGTAAGCCAGGGTAAGGGAGGTTCATAGAGAAAACACCTGTGGCATTAGCTGTTCCAAGTTACACAATGCTGGTGTTTTACCAGCTTCCTTCAGTAAGTCTTTCAAGTTGGTCTCACTGCCTTCTTATGTGTATTTTAGAACAAAACCACTTTCATTCCTAACTTGCAGAATTTTTCTTGAGTTTTCAGCAGATACATCATCTGCTCTTGACATACGTGCTTCTCTCACCAAGTAGTATCACTGCATAATACTGGAGCTCCTTTACTACACCTGCATTTTCTGCTACAAGCCTCAAGTAGCCAAGATGATAAGGATGTTGTTGATTTATGTGAACTTGGTGTAAGGGCTGATGATCTGAAATGACAAGAGCTGCATTTTCTACTTATTGGTTAGTTCTTTCTTGCAGTCCTGGTGAAGGATGCCAGTAATGCAAAGAGAAAAGGGAGTCAGTAATGTCTTTAACATGGTTGCAAAAGAAAACCTTCTCAACCAGTTTACAACTGAAAAGTAGATCTTCAGTATATTAACAGCAGGATTTGAGTAAACAGAGCTATAACTATATGCTGCAGACAACATTAAAAAAAAAGAATCACAGTTCCAAAATATCAGTGGTTTCCTGTTAAACTAGTAGGGTTCTATTATGGAATGAAGTGACCAAATGAAACTAAATTAACTTAAATATTGATAAGCAGATGAGAGTTTATAAATAAACTGGGATTTAAAGTGCCTCTTGGAGAAAATTCCTTAAGGGAATGAGTAGCAGAGCACATGGGATTGCTTTTCTGATCCATGAACTACTTGAATAGCCAGAGATACACAGCCCTCTCCAAACTGGGAGCAGATCTCTACATTTAAGCCAGCTATGACTTTGACAAAGTATAATTGTAGTAAATAGCAATGCTGCTAATCCAGAGGAAAGAAACTCTCACACTCTGCTTTGACAGACACAAACTCTGCCTAGAGCTGGGCCAAGACAATGGCTTCCTTCCTAGCAGCCCATCCCAAACTGCTTATTGCCAGGAATAAACACCTTTCCAAAATATCCAAAACTGCTCCAGCAAACCCTCGCTGCCAGGCACACTACCTGGGAAAGTTTAAACAGGAGTTTGTAGCTAATCCTTGCCATTTTGAGAGAACATGCTGCAAAGGATAAGATTTCCATACCTCAGCCCACAGGATGACCACAATATAACCACACCATTGCAGTGTGGCTACATGAATCAGGAGGAATGGCAGTCAGTGCTGTTATTCAGTTGCAAGATGAGTTTCAGGAGAAGCCATTAAACTTGCAGCATAAGGACGCAAAAAATAACAATGAATTTGCACTAAAACTAAATTGTATTATTTTAAAAGTTTGTCTAAAGTCAGCTAAAAAGTCTCCTCTAGTTGCTGTTACTTGAAAAAAGCAAAAGTCACTACTTGAAGTGCAGTAATGAGCCGACCATGGATACATGAGACTACTGTCTGAATATTATGATTGGAATCTGCTTATCTGAGGATGATCTGGATGTTTCTTGTGACTTGCAAATTTTCATCTGATTTTCTATTTGTAACATAAGCTTAGAGAGTAAACTAGAATATGAGCACAGATTGGTGTTGTAACTCTCAAATTCTTTTTTTTTTTTTAAGTAGAAAAAGCCCACATATTCTTCTTTGTTGAGCTCACTGGTGCTCAGGAATAGGAGCACCATCTGTTTATCAGTCCCTAGGATGATAGTCTGATATTGAAATACTGCAGTTCTATTAAGCCTCTGCAATATGTAAATGCCCCAGATAGGCACATCTAGATGCCACTTCTGTGGTATTGCAAGAGCTCAGAATCAGACCCAACATATTTGTGCCTTAGCATAAAAAAGGAATGAAAGATTACTACTCTATTATTAGTTTTTAAGTTAAAAATCCAAGACAATTTACTGCTTTAGTGCATTCAGGGCCCATCTGAAAACAGGCTGAGGTATTTGGTGTTGTGGGTCAGATGTGGTTTGAAAGGATACAGTGAAGTCTTAGAAGCAGCACTTTATGTTTGCAAGTCCACCACTAAACCATGGTCTCTGACTCAGACTAATCTTGACATCAGCCATTTAGAAAATCAGATTAAAAATTAGAAATGTCATTTTTGTTTTATGCTAGCAGATCAACTTTTGCCTTCAGTGATGTGATATGTTAACACTTACCAATTTGCTCTGCTGCAGGTGAAAGCAGAACTGCAGTTCCTTGTTTTGAAGCATTTGAGGCTACAACTGCATGCTTTTCTTCCATTACATTTTGGTGTTTTGATAAGGAATTTTTTGTTTGCTGATGCTAAGTCTAGAGTCAGATTGTGTTTCAAATAGGCAATAGAGATGGAGTCATCAATTTTAATGCCAGAAGGGGCCATGAGATGACCTTCTCCAGTCCGTGGTTACAAAGTTTGTGGAACTGTAGAGTAAAGATGTTAAGCTGTGTAACTTGGGCTTTACTCCAGCATGTTGGTATGGTTGTGCTCAACCAAGTCCCTGATTTTAAGTTAAATGCCTGTTCTTTTACAGAGCAGTATGTTATGTCCACATTCAAAAGGAACCCGCTGGAGCAGGCCTTCCGAACACCCAATGCTCACTTGACGTCCAACTACTTGATAAACCAGTACTGGATAACTGTCAGTCACAAGGCTCCAGCCATACTCTATGACCTGTACATGAGGCTCACGGGGAGAAAGCCCAGGTAAGAAACCACACGCCTTCAGCCTCCTGCATGCCTGCCACTGTTATGGAGAGCAGATCTCCAAGTTCTGAGAATGAACTGCCTCAGCCTGGGGTCCCTGATCGTCTTCAGATCTGTGGTTATCACATGCTGATACCAAAGGGTAGGTACAGGAGTTATCTCCTTCAGCTTCAGAAGGCTCTCCTGAGAAGTTTAAGCGTTAGATCATTTCACAAATTGCTAGATGTGTAGCAAAACTTCCCTGAATGGCTGTTATTGCTGTGCATCCATCCACGACATGGGAAATAATGTGTTTTATATCATTAGTAGTCTCCTGGGGCAGTCTGTTGTACCTGAGAGCCTGCTCATGCAAGGCTCAGTATGGGAGCAAATAAAGAAATCATTGCTGTCAACAGCTTTCTAGAAGACAGGATGCCTTTCAAAGTGTAACTAATAAGGCTGTGAAGTGACAACTAATAATTCCCACTTCCTTCATGGTGGAGAATGAGATTGTGTACAAGAAATCTTTCCCATAGCCTCTCTGAGGCTACAGAAAAGCTTGTTGATGTTTTTCAGTAGACCACTTCTTCATCCAAATTAGTCAGTATTTTGAATGTGGTCACATTTGAGTTCAGTCAGTTAACATGAAACATGGTTTTCATACGCACCTCTTCAGGTGCTTCACTTCTCTTTTTGACCCTTACTTTTAGCCACTCAGAAATGTTGCTTTGGATAGATCTACAGTCACAGCTTATTCTGCCCGCATTGAGAGGAGGCCATGTGGATACCTATTTTCAAAACATAAGTAGGGACACACAGTTGATTCTCTTATAATTTCTTTCTGACAGATTCCATTACCCCTAAGCTCTTTAAATACCCTCATGGCTTTTGGGGAGCCAGTTTGAGGGGCAACCTCAGATCTCTGCAGTCTAGTCATATACTCTCTTTCCCAGGTTCCTAAAAGGTATTAAAATAATTCGCAAAGCTTTGTCTCATCGTACTTGCCTACACAGGCATAATGAGGAAAATTAATCTGTGGTAGTTTTAAAGTAGTTTAGATAAACTGCATTCAATCAATGTGCACATGATTATTCAGAATGAAGGTTCCCTTCATCTGATGGTGTGCTTTGCTTCTAAAATGAAAAGCACTTTAATGCTGAGTAGGAGTGCCTAGGAGGTTTTAGGGATCTTTCAATTCACTTTGGGTAAACTGAGCAGTTCTCCTCCGAACTGATGTACTCATTATGTCGTCTTCTGTGCTTAGTGCTTATCATTGTGGCAGTCACATCTGCATGGCGAGAGCCCAGCCTGGCACCATTCTTACCAGACTGCTGCCTTTTATTTGTCAACAGCAATTGTGTAACCCTCCGGGCAGCTCAAAACCTCTCATGAAAGCCGCTCTGTTTGCCACAGAAATCAGCCTTTTAATGCTTTCTCTTGCCCGTATCCAGTCTGAGAGAATGTGGTGGTCTCTCAAAATTGACTGAGCACTGTACATTACACAAGTGCCAAAGGCCTTTTATACTCATGACCATTGGGACAACTGTAAAATAATCCTGCAAGGTGCGACAGCATTACTGTCACCCCCTTCTATATGAAAAATGAGTAACAGAAAAAAGGCCAAGACACATGAGACCTGAAGCTACATTTACAAAGTTCCTGTTAAGCAGCTCTGTGCCCAAAGCAGCTTTCATCTTTACCAGGACGCTCACACTCCAGGAAGACATTCAAACCCCACCCTACCCACTCCCCCCAAAAATCTAATGGGCTTGCATGATTTTCGAGGTCACAAAAAATACTCCAGACTGCCACAATACTATACAGGGAGGGGAATGCCCTTTAATAAAAAGTTATTTTTTGAGAGAGAGATATCAAAGAAGCCCAAAGACATGAAAAGCATGACACCAAACTGGGTAGTGTGGTTGATACTCTAGATGGAAGGGATGCTGTTCAGGAGTGACCTTGACAGCCTAGAAGGATGGGCCCATGGTAGAAAAAGAAGTAGTCACCTCAGGAGGCAAGCAGTATACCTTTGTGGTTTTGCTGTCTGCTGTGCAGACTTCATAATAGTTCAGATGGGCTCATCATCTCACAGATGGTACATGCTGCAGACGTGGCCTCCAACCCTTGTTTACTTCAGTAAGTTAGGCATTAGGCTTGCCCTGGGAAATGCATTTTTGCACCCATGTTTGAGCCAAGAATAAAAGCTGGATGACTGTAGGCTCAAGAGACCTCAGCTGGAGTAGGTAGTGTTGCTGAGCAAGTTCTCAGCACCAGTGCAGTGCTCATCAGAAATTGAAATGTCTATTAATCTGGACTGGTGAAAACACCTACAGAGCAAACCGACAGCATTTGCATAATGTCAGACTTCCTGTCCACCTCTGACATGCCTCTTGTTTCAGAATGATGAAGATTATCAATCGACTGCACAAGTCTATGACACTCCTGCAGTATTTTTCCACCCAGTCCTGGGATTGGTCTTCAGAGAATATGAATATGTTAATGAGTCACCTTAACACAGAGGACAAAAAGGTAATAAATACGGATCGCTAATCTCCAGTTCTTTTAATCTGCAGCAGTTCTTTTTGGTGTATTGTGGAGCTTTCAAATGACATCCAGATAACTGGAATTAACTTTAACCCGAAATAATTTATTTCCTCCTTGTTTCATTAAAAAAACTTAACAGCAACCTTCCATTTATTACAGGAGAGTGTCTTCTCCTGAGGTGTACTGCTCTTCCTTTCAAGACAGGTCAATCACTGAAGTCTTTCCAGTTGTGATGGGTGATCTAGATGGAAATGACTTGAAAGATTTTGACATTTTCAACCACATTGGTTTTAATGGGCACTGCACAGGGAAATTTAATTAACACATAGTATCTTACCCTGAACAATATGAAAAAAGTTCCTGTTTTATTCAAGTCCCCAGAGAGCCATTAATTTGCAGGATGCCAAGCTCTGTTGTAGTCAAAGGTTTGAAACTATTGACTCCTTAGGAATGGGATTCTAATGGAAAGCCTGAAGGAAATAAGAGTAGCGTTGTAATAAGCTTGAATGCACCTTTGGTCCTTGCAAAGAGATACGTAGGCATTCACATCAAACTGGTCTCACATAATGAAATTCTTCCACAGACTCCCAGTAGTAGAATCAAGAGTTTTCTTCCCTAGTCTGCAGAGGAAGCACATGCAGCAAATTCTAACTTCTAAAGGCAGTGGCACTGCTGTCACTACAGCAGATGTAGAGGGAACCTCAGTGCTATGACAGGAGCTAGTTTTGAGGCAGGTAAATAAAAAAATACAGCATCAAGGACTTGGTGCAAGCTCAAAAGAGTTTCAGGCTTACCAAGCTGAGAACTTTGTGAGATGCACCGCATCCAGTGTTGCCACTGCTGCATTGTGAGCAGTACTGAAGCTAGGCAGTTTATGGGCAGGTCACATGCCTACACATACTTGACAAAGGCACCAAGATCTACATAGTTGCTAGTACCCATCTGTTCAAGCTATTGCTGGTCTGATACCAAAGCTCTTGCACCTAAGCCTAGATTGGAATGGGATTTTTCTGAGTATCTTCCCTTTTAAGACCCTGTAGATAAGAAATGCCATTCACTTCACTCATTCATTAAATAATAATAATGATAATGATGATAAGAATAATAGTAAAAAATTTGCAACAAAAACTCTCCCTCTTTACAAATGCTTTCTTTGCTTTAATGGACAGACAAGTGCCTGAGAGCTTGCTAACATTTTTTTTTCAGCATAAACATCTGAAATGAACTGGGTAATCAGCTCTGCAATGAGATATCTTCATGCCAGACACCAGAGTAAACCATTTCTTGGACTTCTATTGATCTAGCTCTTGAGAGTTCAGCACAGCAGAGAGTCCTGCTGATGCGGAGCCACTTCTTGTTGCAATGTCCCATTTAGTTATTTACACATAATTCTAGTGACACATTAAAAACTGCATGGAGGTTTTCATACAAATCCATTTACCTGAGTGGAATGCCATTTTTCTTCCACAGTTTTGTGTGTGTGTGTGTGTACAGATACATGTACTTATGCAAAAATTGCCACCTGAAGGACAAACTTATCTTTATTTTCTGGCAGCTAGCACTGAATTTCTGCTTACTTTGCCCAGATTCCTATCTGGGTATGACATTAATGGACAGCTGTAAAATACAGTGTGTTGGTACCCATGTCTTCTTGGAAACTTGGTGGCTTTAAGAGCTTCATTCAGAGAGAGGGCCCTGTCAGGAACAGGGGTCAGTGAAGTGCTTACAGTGAACTTGTTTTGAAGTCTGCCATTTAACTTCTGCTCTATGTTTTTAAATCCCAGTTATACAACTTTGATGTTCGTCAGCTGCACTGGTCAGAATACATTGAAAGCTACTGCCTAGGCGCTAAGAAGTACTTGCTAAATGAGGACATGGCGGGCATTCCAGCAGCAAAGCAGCACTTACGAAAGTAAGTCATACCCAGTGACAAGGACAAGAGCTCCTGGCTACCTTCAGCGGCTTTTGAGGAAAATTATTCTGGTTACATTGCAATAATTATTGTTGAATAACACAGCATAGCTTATTTCTTACAGGAGAGGGTTGTCAGGATTTCGTTTTTCCATCCTGTAAGAAAAAGAGGATGACACTAATGATCAGGGGCTAGATACTATGCCTTCCCAGAGGATGACCAAGTAACAAAGTTACAATGCATAAAAGAAATACATGAATTCAGATGCTCTTGGTCATTTAGAATTATAACAAAAAAATAAGGGTGAGACTTAGGTTTTCTTAAGCTCCTTGACGTTTTTAGCAATTTAAAGATGTTGCATAAAAACTTTAAGCATTTGTATGATTTTAAATTTCATTGTAAAACTGAAATTTCTAATTCCTTGGGGGGGAATGGGCAAAACTTCTCAAAATCAGTGAAGAGCTAACACTTATGCATTCAATGTCTGGTGATAGTTTAAGAGAGCCTGAATGAGCAATTTGAGATTGTCCTCCTATTCAGTTAAAGATTATGCTCTTCCTGTCTTGTCCAACCCTTTTACTGAGAAGTACAGGCAATGGCATAAGGAGCAGCTCTCTTATCTAAGAGCATGGTTGTTTCCTTCAAGAAAACCATTCTACTGCACTGTAAATGCTAGAAGCATTAAACAGTCTGTTGGTGTAGCAAGGAACCCTAAACACATTCTTCATTCACGGGTAATTTTTTAAGGATTTATAAGAACCTCTGTAATAGGCCAGTACTTTGTCCAAACAAGCAGTGTGGTATAGTGCAGTGAGAAAATTTACCAAAAGACTCTTACAAAAATTAAACCAGTCTTGGGGACATTAGGTATGAAGCTTTCTTCCCTTGGTCAGACACTGAGAAAGTGAGAACTGAAGAACTGCAGAAACTTTGCATGACAGAAAGAGGACAACATGGTGGACTTGGTAGTGCTGGGATATCTTAAAGGTCTTTTCCAACCTAGTTAAGTCTATGATTAACATCTTAACGATCCAGTAATACCATTTAAATATATGGTGTAAACCACCCCCCGCAAACCCTTGTTCTGCAGTTACTGCAAAATTGAAGACTGTTTCTGACTACTGAGTAATTTCCCAGCATTAAAAATAAGGTTCTACGCAAATGGAAGAACCTTATTCATCATCTCCTGCAAAGGCCCTCTAGCCTGCTACCAATCCTGCAAATTAATAAAGACCAATATACCAAATCAAAACAGAAAGTATTGGACCTAGACTATCATAAAATAAAAATGCTCATTTCAAACCAGAAAAACAGTCATACTGACTGTACACAGAACACGAGAGACTTGCAATACAGATGTTCCACGCATACCAATAACTATTCACTATACTCTAACTTCAACACTGTCCGTGGCAGGGACATCTTAGGCATGGTGTCTTCACTAAAATAGGAATGGCAAAAAGCCCAAGGGCCACTTGTAAACAGGATTTCTTACAGAATTACCTGTAGCAAATGAAGCAATATGGTAAGCTCTTTGTTGTTTTTGTCTTCCTCCATAAGATACCTCTTTCTCTTTCTCAGGCTGAGGAACATCCGATATGCGTTCAACACTACCCTTCTTGTGATCATCTGGCGCATCTTCATTGCAAGGTCACAGATGGCTCGAAACATCTGGTACTTTGTGGTGAGCCTCTGCTACAAGTTCCTTTCCTACTTCAGGGCATCCAGCACCCTCAGGCACTGAAGCCATCCATCCGCAACCAGCCTCTTTCAGAAGGACCCTCCATCTCCTCTAATCAGCAACTATGGGCATCGGGGTCTGAAAGCAGCAGAAAAATCAATCCCTCCAACAGCAGCCTGCATTTATTGTGCATTTATTACTCACCTTCTTAATTTTAACTAATGCTTTAATACATGGTGGTCTTTCTTCCATAGGACCAGGCCAATTTTTAAAGCCATAACTGAAGCTTTAGGAACAGGTCAAGCTGGGACCATTCATCTAGAGTCTGATGAGCAGAAGTAAGGATTAACCAAAGTCAGTGTCTTCCCATGTACTACTTAGGTTATCTTAATTCCATTTCTTCTTCAGAAGAGGTAAATTTAAAGCGTACAGACTTAGAAAGAAAAGGATACCATCAGGGAAGACCCAGCCAAGGAAATTTAACCTGTAAGAGGTCTTCCTAAGGAGGCTATTCCTTCATTCTCATTCAGTGAAATGGTACCTTATTGAAAATCATGATTTTACCTTTTCAGTTTTTTTAAACTAAGTCAGTGACCACACTGAACAGTTTTCAGATCTTGTCTTATATTGTTACTGAGGACTGATTTCAAGCCATAACTGAAGACGTACATAAAATCCATGTACCTGTGTTAATGCTACTCACCCACAAGCTGCTTTCTTATGGAGAGGTATTTTTTCTCTCTGCGGTTAAGGTTGCAGTCTGTAAAAAATCTCTTGCTCTTGCATTTACCACATTTGCTTGGGACAGTTTTGGGGCTTGAAAAATTGCTGTTATTTACTCCAAGAATGAAGAGAAGCCTTCTTAAAATATTGAAGAAGAATTCAGAAACTCTTTATTGCTTTTGAGGAATAGGTCTGTTTCCCCCTTGGATTTGTCTGCAGAAAACCTTTCTCCCTGTGGCTTAAAAACCAGCCTGATACTGTTCTTCCTGCTTTCATTACAGCTAAATCACTTTACAGTTGATTACTTCCCCTGGCGAAAAAGGGTAAAGAAAGACATGTATGGAGTAAATCCTCTCAGGCCAGTTCTGCTGCTGCCTCTGTCAGTAAGAATTAAGAAGTCTGAAATCTGATTCCATTGAGGTTAACAGTTGGACTCAATGATCTTAAAGGTCTTTTACAATCTAACCAATTCCATGATTCTATGACTTCTCTGTAAAAGCAGGCATGCGCTGTGAAAGTAATGCATTTTGTCCTACATTGCAGTTTAGAGAAGAAGCCAAGGACTTCCTAATGCTTACAGCTGTTGGAGATACTTGTTTCACCTAGTGAAGTATGAATTCCTGGGGGGAGGAGAGAGAGAGAGAGCCTTCTTCAAAGTAGCTGGTGCAACAATAGCCTTAGTGCAACAGCAACAAATTTATCATGCTATCGGCTTTTCAAAGTGAAATCTAATACTGGAATATTTTTTATTCAGATAACACTGAATAAGCACTTTAAGGTTATCAGACTTTTAAGCAGCTAGGTTTTGAAATGATGCAGCATCCAGTTTCTCTAGTCTTGTGTCATGCTAGCTGTTGGAAAAAAGTAATACTACATCACAAAAAAATGACACAGTTGCTCTTTTGAGAGCTGAGAACAGCAGAGTATTTACAAGGCTGGCATTCTTCAAAAAATTATACTTGTTTTTGGCAGTGAAGGCAAGAACAAGTTATGATGACAGTATATTTATATCCTAGGCCTCCAAGCTAGTTCAGAAGTCTTTCTTGAGGTGCAAGGAATTCATCTTCCCCCGTATGCCCCAGATGTCTAGTTTCAAGCAATTGCCAAAGGATGCCTGCAGCAGAATCTGACCAGAAACATGCTGTCCAGAGTGGCAAGGCCCAGCAAAGGCCCCTCTGTATGTCACACATTACTTCTGATCTATGCTTAATTAGGTCAAGCACCCAGTTTAGAAAGATGCACATTTTCTAAGCTTTTGCCTTGAAAATATATGTTGAAAAAGAAACGGTGCTGGTTGTTGGCTATGTTTTTTACAACTTCAAAAAGCTGGCAGTATGTGCTATGCATTGCACATTAACAAGGTGTCACTGCCTGGGAAACTAGGAGCTATGGGTTTGGGTGCTGGGGACCAGATATTTCACGTACAGTGCTTTCACAGCAGTGTACATGGTGAAGGTTATTTGTGTTATACTTTGCTAAATTGGCTGTGCAGGAAGTGTGGCTACCTTGGTGGGGTGAGGCAGGTTGCTGTAGGGTTTCCTCTAGAAAGACTGCATTCCCTCAAGTACATAATCAGGTCATCAGCCAGCTTCCAGTCTTCTCATATGAAAGCCTAAAAACCAAAACAAAACTGCAGATTATTCTGAAACAAGCATCCATTAAAAAAACTAGGAAATAATTTTAACTCATATCCTGAAAGTCTTTTTAAGTGCCTGCCATATGGACAAAGAGAAGCAACAACTAAAGGAATTGTAAGTCTTACTGTATGCATATGACAGACAAAAGCTTGAGTCTCACGAAAAAAAGTCAAATACTGCAGACCTGCTACACCTACAACATCTGGTCTAGATCAGTCTGTTCTACTATGAGTAAAGTGTCCTGCCTTCTCTTTTCCAGTGCTAGTCATGCCACACATTCCTCACATATGCCTGTAGGCATTCACAGTTATTTGCACAGGTTGTATTGTCTGAACAAGTCAGAGAAGTATCTTTACTCACCTGAGTTTATCTGGACCTGTTTTCTGCACATGCAAAAAGATGCTTCCAGTTTCATTCAGAACAATGGTGATACCACGTTTTAAAGCTCTAAAGTTAACAGCCACAGCAAAGCTGCTATTCAGCCCTGAAAGAACAGCAGGAGCTGCTTGGAATGTTACAGACATATAGCTGTTGCAGATGGTATATGCTCTTCTGGAGACCTTTCATAGCCCACACAGTATTCCCAGCAGCTGACTCCAGAGCTCTGGCCTTGCCTGAGGGGAATCAAACTGTTAGCTTTTCTTAACACAGACATAACATGCAGTGAAAGCTGAATCTTTAATCCATTTTCTTGTGGCTTGAGATGTTTCCCAGTGATCAAACCACAAAAATATTTCAGAAAAACCTCAGTGCAGAGACTGATGCATGGAAATGGCCTTTGGGTGCCAGTTATGACTGTCATCATGGAGAGCTAGACCTGGCATAAGAACTTGCTCTCACCTCAAGCAGTAACTTATCTTTGATGTTTTATGTGTGCTCCTCAGTGTATTTGTATGTGCTCTGAAGAAACCCAAGCCTTGGGGAAAATATCTCAAAGAAAACACCGAGTGACAGCCACTTCTTTTCTTCCTTATTCTCTCTTACTCTTTCATGTATACTCACAAGCTTTGACAAAAGAAAGGAATTACAACTGTATTAAGCTAAATCAGAGGTCCTGTGGTGCACAAATTAACACAAACAGGAATGGATATTATTCATGGCTGAAGGCTAGAGCTTTTAATACCTGTAAGGTTGAAGCAGGACTCAAGGTTGGGGTTCCTTCTCGTACAGAGGTAGCATGTGTTATGGGGAGGAGAGGGAAGGAGGAGGAGCATTCCTGCAGCCTCTGCTCATAGACAGCAGAAGCACTGCTAGGCACAGAGCATCCAGCTCAACGAGATAAGGGAGACTCAAGGATTCAGAGAAGTATGCGCTGCCAAACTCACAAGACTCTGCCTCCCAAGGAATAGGGGGAAGAGCTCCATCAGCATTTTGTTGTCAGTTTGGTTTCTTGTAATAGATCCTATGAACTAAAAGGCTCCTCCATCCTTCCCCCAGCTACCAGCAGGCAGCATGGAGAACAATATTGGTAGTCATTCTGCACAGCCACAAAAGAAAATATCTGCCACAAGACAGTATAATGGGATTATTTGTTTATTCCCTATGGACTTGCAGTGTATCTACCCCCTTACGGTGTCAGGAGCCTGCAGTGTTGCTTCAGAAATAACACGGACCACTGTTGAACCCAATGTACTAATGTTTTGTTAATACTATGCATATATACTAGTCTGTAGGCTATAGCTATGAACTGCTGTGCGAAAGCAATGAAACACTGAATATCAATGAGCAGTTGGCATCAGCTTGCAATTAAGTACCTTTTTTTAAATTAAATTGCAGTAACAAAAAACCCCACCAAATCCCTTAAATTAATGTGAATTTAAACTGCCTTTTGACTGACAACCAAAGCTGTTTCTCTCCAGCATGTCTGTTACCAAAAAAAAACCCAATTTCCCACCTATCCACCCTCTATCCAAATAATTTGTTAAGAAAATACAATTCTTTCTTGGTAGGAGGCGGGTAACAGACATCCTGGTATATTACACGTTCTTGGTCCATTACCCACCCCCTCAAGAAATGTGTTATTTTCCATTTTCTAAGAAAACATGATTATATGTGCCTGTGTGTATAGTTAATCTTTCAGTACCAAAATTCTCATACAGCATACAGAGATGCTAAAAGTAGTGGGGCTCATACTGAAATGCCAGGCTGTGCTTGTTTGGTATGCACTGGTCCAGTTCAGTTTAAGACAAAGTGACTAAAACCTACCCTGGTTTCCAGTGTAAAGGAAACCCAACCTGTAGTACTATTAATCAAATCATCATCATGAATAAGCAACTGGGAAAAGAGGGAGGGGGGGCATTCTTTTGTTTGTAAATAAGTTACAGCTTCATGGTCAAAAGCATGCTGTTGCTCTTCCAGCACTGACGTTCTACCACAGAAAGCAAGGATGAACTTTCATAACAATTGGACCCTTTATTCTAGCGCAGAGTAAATAACATACTGTACATTCCCCAGAAGCTAAATGGTGAATATCCCATTTCATGGTGCTAAATATTGGTATGAAGGTGGTACAGACTTACTTGATAAATAAGAAGATAATTTAAAAAGCATATTTGGGGAATAATTAAAGATGTACTATCCCACTTTACTGCTTAAAAGTCTACTATGAATTGAGTGGTTTGTTCAGATTAACATGAAACTACTTATAAAAAGTTTCTTGTCCTTATAAAATCTTGGCAGACCCCAGTTTATAGTAAAATAAGTATTCTCCCACTGTCCAAAGTTTATATGGTTCTATCTGCTATTTCTATTCTCTTGTTAGCTATGAGACAACTTACAAGTCTTAATTACAGAGTTTCTAATGTTAAGATGTAATCTTTTGAGCTCTCAAATCAGATAAAAATGGTAAAGTCACAAATTATGAGAACCTCAGCCATAAAATTGTTAATATGATGTTTATGTTATTTTAAACATTTAATAAAACAAGTATTTTAAAACTATGGTCAACATGCATCCCTTAAGTTGCTAAAGGAGATGTGTCGTGATTCAAGCCCAGTCGACAACCCAGAACCACGCAGCCGCTCACTCACTCCTCCCCCTTCCCCCCCCCAGTCCCCGAGGGATGGGGAGGAGAATCGAAAGAATGCAGCTCCCATGGGTTGAGATAAGAACACCCCAGTAAGTAAGGTGTAACACAAACCACTGCTGCTACCACCAATAATAATAATGATAAGGGAAATAACAAGGGAAGAGAATACACCCGCTCACCACCCGCCGACCCATACGCA